GCTTAGTATTTTCCTTATAGTAATAATTAAGAAGCATGAATACAGGCATGCATCAGAGATATTATTGCAGGTTCAGTTCCAGACCACTGCAATAAAGCCAAAATTGCAATAAAGCAAATCACATGAAATTTTTGGTTTCCCAGTGCAAATAAAAGTTATGTTTATACTATACTGTAGTCTATTAAAGAAGCTCTGGTGACACTGTGGTTAAAGCATGGACTGCTAACCGAAAGTTAAGCAGTTTGAACCCACTAGCCGCTCTGCAGGAGAAAGATGAGGCAGTCTGCTTCTGTAAAGATTTATAGCCTTGGAATCCCTACAGGGCAGTGCTACTCTATCCTATAGGGTCAGTATAAGTCAGAATCAACTCAATGGCAGTGGGTTTGGTTCTGGTGGGTCATCTATTAAGTGTGCAACAGCATTAGGAAAATAGTTTGAAATATTGTAAGAATTACCAAAATGTGACACAAACATGAAATGAGTACATGCTATTGAAAAAATGCTGCTGATAGATTTGCTTGATACAGGGTTGCCACAAAACTTCAGTTTGCAAAAACACAATATCCAGAAAGCTCAATAAAATAAGGTATGTCTGTATATACAAAAGGACAGATATGAAAGAAAATTTGTGATTTGGATGGATGTGTAAAAAGATGAGTGGAAAAGAGCTGGCACATGATGACAGGTGATTTAGCATAACAATCAAGGGCATAAACTTTGTGCTGAGTGGAAATAAGGTTACAATTTCTGCTCTGTGTGAGCTTGGGTAAATTATTTATCCTCTCTGAGCCTCAATACTCACTCTGTAAAATATAGAAACCATGATAACTCATGGGGATTGTTAGATCAAATGGAAAAATTCAAGGACACAAAAACTGCTTATTGGAGTATCTAGCACATAGTAGGAGTTCAACAAATAGCAAATAAATACATTGTTATTGTTAAGGAAAGGAGCCCTGGTAGTATGTGGGTAAGCACTTGGCTAAGGAGCTCTGGTGGCATAGTGCATAACGCATTTGGCTGCTAACCAGATGGTTGATGGTTCAGACCCAGCAGCTGCTCCATGGGGAGAAGATGAGGTGATCTACTTCTGTAAAGATTCACAGCCTTGGAAACCCAATAGGGTCACTATGAGTCAGAATCAACTCAATGACAGTGGGTTTGGTTTACTACCTGAAAGGTCAGCAGTTCAAACCCACCAGGTGCTCCAAAGGATAAAGGACCTGGCAATCTGCTCCTGTGATTTCAGCTTTGGAAACTCTATGGGGCAGTTCTCTCATAGGGTCATTATAAGTCAGAATCAACTTGGCAGTAGAAAACAACAACATTGTTAAGGAAAAGAGTTGAACTAAAAATAGTCTGGGCAAACAAGTTGCAGAGCAATGAATTGCTTAATATCGTCGTTCTAGCCATTGTCCTCCATTTTGTGATATATTGTAAACCCTAGTCTCTATGGCTGTAACAATGGGTTCAGGTATAGCAAGGATTGTGAGGCGGTGCAGGACCTGGCAGTGTTTCGTTCTGTTGTACATAGGGCCACTGTGTCCAGCTGTTAACCAAAAGGCTGGTGGTTTGGGCACACCCAGGACCCAAAAGTACACAGGAGCTCTGGTGGCATAGTGCACAAGGCATTTGACTGCTAACCAGAAGTCTAGCAGTTTAAACCCACCAGCCAGCCACTCCTTGGAAGGGAGACTAGACAATCTACTTCCATAGAGATACTGCCTCAGAAACCCAAGGAGGGGTTTCCGACTCAACAGAAGTGAGTTTATGAGTCAGAGCTGACTCAACAATACCTAACAATAAAATGGGAGCTCTGGTGGTATAGTGCATAAGGCATTTGACTGCTAACCAGAAGGTTGGCAGTTCAAACCCACCAGCCACACCTCGGAAGGAAGGTTGGGCGATCTACTTCCTTAATGATACCTTGTCAGAAACCCAATGAGTCGTTACGAGTTGGAAGGCAGTGTGTTCATTAACAACAAAATGGCTGTTTAGGGTGGGATGTATCTTTAGTCCCACCTTGCTGGAGGGTATGACTCAAGTCACCACCCTTAGCTTTCTTGAGAGTATATATGTGAATGTTCTGGGAAAGTGCTCTCTTCCTTTGGTTCTGCATTTGGTTCATCATGTTTTCAGGCCTGGACTTAAGACAGCAGTTATCCATCTGACCCACCGATTTGGTTTCCCTAGCCAGATCTACCCACAGACATGGGACTTGCCAGCCTGCCAGCCCCCACCACCACAATGTGAAGTGTTTCCTCAGAAGTCTGTAAGTTGTATGAGATGTTACAGTGAAATATGGAACCCTAAGACAGGAGAGAGGGTGCTGAGGGGAGGAGGAAGAGGAGGAGTTGATGTCAGAGATGATGGAGTAGCACAGCAGTTGGGAAAGTTGGACATTTGAGACATCTTTAACCTCTACCTCATAGGGACCAGCTTTTTGCTGATACTTCTAAAAGAAATTATTCAAGCATAAGTAATCACAATATTGTAATTGATTATTAGTATTTTGCTAGTAGAGAATAATAGTATAAGCAGTAGATACCTGAAGAGTTTCTTAGCAACCCTTTTCTCTTAGGCTATTAAGTCATGTCTGGAATTCTAGGAAGGGGTTGATTCATTTCTATTCCTGAGACTTGAGAGGAAACACCTGGGCAATCTCCAGGGTTTATCTGAACCTCTCTATTTATAGAGATATAATGCATAAACATTGGCTTCATTTTGAAACAGAACAACAAAAAAGGATTAAACAGTAAGGTATTTGCTTGATATTCAACATTCTCAACACCAATCAGAATATTTCAGTTCTTCTTTAGAGGCAAGAAAAACAACATACATATTTTTATGATATTTTCATTGTTGCACAGCTCAAATTTCATTTCAAAATTAGAATTCATATTGTAGCAATCAAATCAACATGCTTATTATTCAATAAATTACCATCTTCCAATTTCTCCCCCATCTTCACTACAGTGCCTCAGAGAGCTGAGAGGGTCCTCCAAAAAAAAAAAAAAAAAAAA